TCACTGAAGCAATGAGCATGAAACTGAGCAAACTCAGGGAGGCAGTGAAGGACAGGAAGGCCTGGCACGATTTAGTTCGTGGGGTCATGAAGAATGACCCCATGAACTAAAGACTCAGAGATGACTTACTGACTGAACAACAACAACAACATATCCAACACCTTGTCTTGCTTTTCACTTAAAAGTCATAAAAAATAAACTTTAATTTTTTTTATTTTTGGTCAGAGATGACTTACTGACTGAACAACAACAACAACATATCCAACACCTTGTCTTGCTTTTCACTTAAAAGTCATAAAAAATAAATCTTCATTTTCTTGTATTAAGGTGTGATGGTACTTACTAACCGGGTGTTTTCAGCCTTGTTCCTTTGAAGGTGTCTAAGTTCATTAAAATCATTAATAAGCAATTTCTGAAGGTAGTTGGCAAGGGAAGTGCACAAACATAGTGTCCTTTAAAAGGCTCTATTTGCGTCTAGAGCAAAAATGGCAAATTCCCCCATCTCCAGGTTTCCCTCCCCACCATAGGTCACTGGCTTGCAGTCTCTTCATAAAGAAAAGGAACAACCATAAGAAGAAACAGTTTATGCACTTTTGCATTTCTCTCTTTAACCAGAGAGGATCAAAGGAGTCGACCTGTTAACTGGCTACTAAAAAAGTCTGCACATGTCAGCTCTGCATTTTCATGAAGCCATCTTCAGGCGGCCATCTTCCGTGGAAGATTGTGTTGTAATATTGTACACCACCTGCCATCTTTGACTTTGCTACCCTTCTAAACTTGTCTGTCTTTCTGTCTATCTATTTAATGTACAGTATATTGTCATACACTTGCACACTCTAAACAGCTAAAAGGGTTTTTTAAAAATCACAATACAAATGCAGTAATAGAAAAATAAAATACATATCTTGTGAAAAACAAAACATAACATTTGTATATTTACATTAAAAGTGGGCTTATATGTCAACCTGGTTCAGTACCTGTGGGAACATCTAGATGGTCAAAGCCTATTTAAAAATTGTCAAGTTTCAGGCCATGGGTGGGAAAGTGGGGGCAGATTCTGTTTCATAAAGCAAGGATTTCAACAGGGAAGGTACACCTTCTGGATCTTATCAGATGACATTCTTTAATTGATAGGACACAGAGCATGCCATCTCAGTAGAATATACCTATGCGTGCACATATATTTACATTATACACTTCTCTTTCTCACATACATATTCACATGCATTCATATGAGGACTTATTAGGAAATTTGACTTATTTAAAGCAAAATAGGAATGCTGAAATATAGAAATAACCCAGTATTAACCCCAGATAATCAGTTTATCTTTACCATTTGCTGAACATCAAAGGCAAGAACTTTGAAGGCTGTTGATGATTTATTTTGCAAAGCTGGGGTGAACAATGCTCCTGACTTTATTGTAAATATTCCCTCTGTTTCATGGTAATTTGCTCCTGATAAAAAAAGTATATAAATGAGAAAGCAAAATGTTTCTCTCAATTTGCTGTTTGTTTAGACTGTTTTTTTGTGTGTGTGTGTGTATTTTTTATATCTCTGAATATGGATCCACGGAAGTGAAGATGGAACAAATATTCAATTTTATATATTTTATAAATTTTCATTATAAAAAGTTCTCATTCTATTTCTAGCACTGAAGCAATGTTAAATGGAGTGATGAGCCTCTAGAGAAGGTGAGAAAACATGGGGCAAGGAATCACTGACTTAACAAACCATCATTGGAACAACTGCAAGAAAATAATTTTAAAAAGCAGAGAAAATAGGAGCCTGGCAGCCCAGGATAAAATGGCTACAGAGAATAGTGACCAGCCACTGGAGGGGAGGGAGCTAGGCAGGTGCTGTAGCCAATCAGATAGATTCTTACTAGATCAGAAATATGTAGGCCATATATAGAAGGGCTTAAGACAGCTTAGAAAACAAAGCAGCTTCAAAATATGGGAATTGGTGGAGGATGACACCATCTTTTTCTGCACTCAGGAAACAATAAGTGGCCCATTCTGGCAACAGGATAAGCAGAAAGTCCAGAACTTCCCTTAGTCATAAAGAATAACAACATGACTATTCTGTATTAATGTTGCTACAGATGAGGACTGGGGTGAGGTGGGGTGGAGTATGTTTTTCTTGAAATCCAAGTCTTCTGTTTGGAAATTCACTTGGGTTTGATACATATTGGGAAAGCTTAGGTCTGTGTTTCTGGACAATAGTGCTGTGTTCTTTTTTAAAGATATAAGGATATGTGTCATTCAAGCCCTATATTAGTGCTTTCTTGTAAGAAAAAAAAAAGTTCCTTAATATTGGACTCTTTTATAATATAGTAAGTGTACTGGTGCTGATGAGTATATGATATAAACTGAGTTATTAATTTTGATTTCATAATCTTTTTATCCCATTGTTTCCTTTTGTTTAATGATTGACAGACCATCTTGGAAAGACTACCTAAGAAAGGCTACCTAAAGCTTAGGAGTTGTTTTTAATTCAGACTAACAAAACACAAAGAAAACTGATGTAATCCATATAAAAACAAATGTAGGTGGTTTTAGTCATAGAAATCAATAGTTTCAAGTTGTATTGAAGTTGCTGAAATACTAGTGAGAAAGCAATAACAGGCAGCCAGTTTTATTCAGTATGAGACATGGTGTTAGGAAACAGAATACTTCCAGAGTATCATAAGAACCAAGGATTAACATTTTCCTTGGGTATGAAACATACTTTTCTAATGTGCAGCTTTGGAAAAAGACTCTTGAAGTTTACAGAGACCACATTCCAAAAAGTGATGGTTAGAACACAGATTTAAAGTTAGTTTAAAACAAATTAAATATAGCTATTACTTTTTAGATATATACTTAATAAATATCTTATTCTACCACATTAAAAATTACAAACTGATAACTTTTGGAAGTCTCTAAATACCACAGCCATGAAATTCAGGAGCAATACCTCAGCTTTGAATTTAATCTACATTCTTTTTTTCGGTAGAGCATTCTTCCTGTTATATGTTGATGGATTGCTAGCAGAAATACGGAAGTCCACAATGGAATGATGGCCCAGACAAAGATCAATCATTTTTGTTCATAAGGGGCCTCTCCATGTACTAAGTGAGCAAGTAAGGTAAAGCCAATGTAATTATACTCAATTTATTATTTTTTCTAACTAAATTCTTTCTTTTTCTAATCAGCATTATTTTTCTATTTTAAATGTGCACATTTGTATTCATGTTTTGCACTTTTATATTATTATATGCATTTTCATATATACTTTTCCAAATATAAAGAATCTTGCCAACAATTTTTGATAATACAGTTTTATTTTGTCCATCTAGGAATTTATGTGTACACTTTTCCAAAATATATGACTGTTTTTATTTTTGTCCTCCAGAAAACTTCATCAGAAAATTTGGAAATGTTTGATTTTCAAGAAATTATTGCATTTTGGTTCACATATTGGTTCAGAAAATATGTAATAGTTACATTTGTATTAAAATTCAAATATATATATCTTTTCTCTGCCCTTAAGTGGGAACAGTTTTCTTTTTCTTGTTCTGTATCAATTCCAACCATGTAAGGGACTTGGGAAAAGATATAATGCAGTAGAGTAGAGGCCTCATAAATCTGATGACCATATATCTATCCTGTCATCTAGTAATTGTCTGGTCTTTTGCAGTCCAGATTTGGTAAAACATATTACTATTAAAAGACAAAGAAAACAAGAGAACAAAATTTGATAGTGCGCTCTCTCTCTCTCTCTCTCTCTCTCTCTCTCAAATTGCATATTTCATGAAGTTGGTATGACAACAGGAAGAAAACAGATTGCTTTGGTATTTTTTAAAATAATATAAGCATGTGAAACTTTGTATAAACCTTGCCAGCTAACTTCAAACAAAAAACATACTTTTAAGGAAGGAGGAACCTATGCAAATTTAACATTAAAATAAATAATATACTATAACTTTATTCTGATGAAGAAGAATTGCATTATGTCCTTGAGAATTTAACATCCATTAAATCACAGGATCTCACAACCATGATAATATATCATTGCAGAATGGAGTAGATGCTAGGACCAGTGGAGATCTTTCTATTTCCATTTTTCCTTTCATTTTACATAACATTTGATAACATGATTTGAATATAATAATTTCTCAAATATTTAAATTAAAGAAATTCACACAAAGATATACAGTAAATACCAAATCACTTTCATATAAACTTTAAATCCAACCTGTTCCTTGTTGTCATTATTTCATAGAATACATGGTTTCGAGTCTAAAGAATGTTTCAAAGGTAGAATGTCTACTTTACTAATTTTAATATTTTTTTTTCAAAGAAGCATTAGCCAGCATAGTGTCAAACATAATGAGCAATTAAATATATCAACAGCAACTTAAGAGTTTTAAATGTTACCACAGAGCTAAATTATAAAGTTTGCTTCTAGCTTCTTACCTTGTTCAGTTGTCTTGTTGAACAGCCACAAAAATGTTAATAAAACAGTACAAATACATAGGGACATTATAAACAGAACAGTGAGCAAAAATTCATAGCTGTTAAAAGGAACATTTCTTTTCTTGAACAATATTTTTGGATTCATTTTGAGTTGGGAACTGAAATTCCTGCCAAATGCATGTAAGTCTGACAATAAAAGTGATAATCTGGGCACAGTTTTATACCAGAGATGATTGCAGTTAATTATTTATTTTTTATATATGCTGGACTCAACATTTCCAGAGGTTTATACCATAAGACATAAAAACATAGTAAAAACTTTAAAAAACACAAAAGATTTTAATCATAATGTTTTTAGTAATTTCAGTTCTAGGTTCGGGCACACAGTATACTTTATACTCAAAGAAAAAAGATATTAATGGTAGAAATCCATAACTCCTATTCAGAAGATAATATTTTTCAAGATAATATATGTACATATTCAATACCCAAGGCTGTAAATGTTAATTTTCAACTTTGCTTTATCATTTCATCTATCTGTTACTAGTACAATTGTAATGGCATTGCCTGTTGTTACTTTCAATTGCTTGTTTTATAGTTTCTTGGAAGTTCTGGAAATTATGGATCAATTTACTTTTGCATTTGGCAAGAGATAAAGTGTAAAGCAGCAACTGAGAATTTCTTTGGTGGACAAAAAACACACCTAACATATTTTGGTAGCCTGTGCAATGTGAAGTGGTTAGAGCAATGACATTTTAAGGAGGGTATGGAGTAAGTTCTTTGTTTTTTGTTTTTGTTTTAAGTTTCATATTTAGTGTACTTATGTGTTTCGCAGCTCAAAATGGCATTAAAATAACCGTTTACAACCTTTTTACAAATTATGATTGCAGTTCTGAGGTGTGCAAAAGTAGAACTGAGGACCACCTGTTTCCATGGAGTGAAAAGTTGCCATTCTATGTAGCTGGAAAAAAATAGACATTCAGACATGAAGAATGAATGTGTGACAGGAAACAGTGGATATGAATATGCTATGCTAGTTCATTACTATGCTTTTAGCATGGCCAGCCCTACCAAATAGTACTTTGAGACAACTTCCTTAGCTGGCAAACTCTGGAAGGCGGTAGTGGCTTATACCTTTCCTTCTAAAGAAAGAGAGAACTACGGTATATACAGTATATCACATAACCTATTCTGATCACTAAAATCTCCTGCTGATTTCATGTGTACTAGAAATGGTATCTCAACAGCAATATTAAAGAAACATTTATATGTCACTTTCCATATGTAGCATGGGATCACATGCCACATTATCTTCCACTGCAATCAGAAAAATGCTTGGGGAAACATCTCATTTTCTTCCACAGGTTGTAAGCAGTAGTTTGCAGCAGAGAGTCTTTTTACACTCCTGTAGTTCTATATGCAGTCTTCAGTTGTGTGAAGACATAAACATAGAATGCCTCTTCCTTCAGACATTTTTCCTCAACTCATGGTCAGCAGCAGATCTGGTGACAGGAGTTAGAACTAGCAAGCCATTCATGCAGAAGAGTCTTGAAGAGGCTTCACTTAATATTACCAGTGGAACTCATCAACCCTAATAGTGCAAGGTTATAACATATATGAAAAAAACTGAGCATGCAGTTCTATAAAGTAATAAATCATGGGAAAGGTTGTTGGTATTGGTCCTGCTTACAAAGCATAATGAAGTTTTATAATTTTACCAAATTTTAATATATGGACTTTTTCATGATAGGGGAAAAATATAACAACTCCCAATTATATTTGGGAGCATTTTCTTTCTTTTCTGGAACTGCTGAGCATCTGCAATAAAATACTGTAAAGGACTAACGTAGAAATCATGGGAAACTTTGCAAAGTGTGTGTGTGTATGTGTGTGTGTGTATAAATAAATAAAATCTTACCAGGGTATCTGAAAAGCCAAAACTTTCTTGCTGAATTAAATTGCCAAGTAGCAACATTTGGTATATTGTTTTCTCAAGATAGATAGATGGTATAGAAATATTTTGCTACCTAGTGTTACGTACAGTTGCCATACTTTACTAATATAGGGAATATTTGTACAATATATATATATTATCAGACACAAGTCAAAACAATTCAGGAACTGCTCCTGTCTGTGCTCCTGCACTCTGAAGATGCCGGTCACAGGTGCTGGCGAAATGTTAGGAAACAAGACTTCAAGACCACGGCCACACAGCCCGGAAGACCCACACCAGCCAATTCAGGATACATTATATTTAAAAATGGACTCAAATTGTTTTTGGAGTTAATAGGTCAAGTATGTCAACCCTCTTCCATAAATGGAGAATGCCTCTAACGTTTTAAAATACAAGGTGGAACTGAAAAATCCTTATAATTTGATATAGCTCAACTATGACATACTGGGACTTCAGAACCATATAATAAAGTCTCTAGAAACATATCCACAAGTCAATTTCTTTTTTATAGTGACGGCTACTGAGAATTTGCACAGAGTCATTAAGTGGATAGGAACAGCCTCACAATAAAGCTTTGACTGACTAGTTAGACACCTGATACCAAACACTGAATTTATCCTACCAGCAATAAAATAACAATCCCTCTTCAATTAGGGGTTGCATTTTACTGATCTCACATTTCTTTTAGGTATATGTTATTTTATTTAAGGATTCCTGAATTATTTTTGAAGCATCCTGAAATGCAGTTTGCATCTACAGTTTTACTCCAATAACTTATGATCAGTAGTTTCTGCAGCAAATTGCAATGACACAGAAATGACTATATGCCTGCAATAATGTAATCACAAATGCTTCAATTCAACTTGTGTCTTAACACCTCACAGGAGTATGTAAATTGAGGTATTATGTCATCACCCATGGCCATCATTTATCCCCTTTGCTTTCTCATAGATGCCCAGGCTTCTAATATGATCCTATGGTATGTTTAAATTAGTAGGATATCAACTAATATAGTATTATACTATATTAGTATAACTGATAGTATACCAGTTATGGGCAGAAAGATCTCACCTTAATTTCTTTTTTTTTTTAAATACCTTTTTTCATTTAACATTATTTAAATGTTTTCTCTAAGTATCAGCCAGGCTAGGATGCTGACTGGCTTCTTTCCAAGGCACTAGGTTGATATCTAATGCAGTAACCCTGAAGATCTCTATTATACTGAACTTTCTGCTGGGTCAGCGTTATCTGCAGCTCCTGTGAGGGTTACAGTTTTGTTGTGGTATTTTTATTCTCCCTTCTTAATCATGACTGCACCAGTGAGAGAGAATGTACTGAGGTAGGATGGGATTCATTGTGTTTGTATTTCTTTAAGAAGCATTCTAATGCTAAAATCTACAGAAGAAGAAGAAGAAGAAGGAGAAGAAGAAGAAGTTATTTGTGGGGAAATGATTTGGCTATGTGCACAGGATTGCCCTTCATTAACAAGATGAAATCAGACTCAGCTTTTCTGTGGCAGCTGTGTTAAATAATTGGCCCATTCTGCAATGCTGGCTGCTGCAAAAGTAAGTGGATAAAGTACACTGACAGATCTGCAATGAAAATCTAGGAAAGGCTGTTGCTAGCTGCCTATCCATATTTAGATCATTTACATGCAGGAAAACTGGAAGAGTTCTGAAATACAAAGCATTTGACACAAACCTAAATCAGCATGATAGCCAGGTAAAATGTCAGGTCATAAAGAGATATTAATGGATAATTATGGGATTTTTCCTCTCCTTTATGCTAAATTATTTTAACACATCTGATTTCCTCCTTCCTACGTCTACTAAAAATCTGGGCTGAAAAAGAACTTGAAGATCACTATATTTATTTCTTTGTAACCTAGTAGTAATCTGAAGTTTTGTAGCCCAGATCTGGCAGCCCTGTTTCTTACCCAGGGTTATCTCTTTCAGCAAAAATATGCAAGCCATCAATTGGCATCAGCCTCCTGTTTGAAAGAACTAACACAAAACTCTCCAGACTGCATACATTGTGCATACATAGTATTGGACAGTTGGATCAGCTAGCATAGCATTGTCAAGATGGACTGGAAGTTGCTCTCCATAGTTTTAGGTAAGAGTTTTCCAGTGCTACCTTGTGATGCAGAGAATTGACCGTTGAGCTTTCTACAAAGAGCACACAAACTGTGCCAAAGTACTTTGACCCTGTTCATTGTAATAACTTATCAAAACATATAGTGGCACTATCTGTGACATGGCATGGCCTAACAGTATCACTGTGCCTGGAAATGCTACCTGAAGAGGTTACCGAGAAGTAAAATTATGCATTTTTATTTACAGTGTGCCAAATTTTGCAAAACAAGATAACATCTGGAGTTGGTTTAAATGAATTCTGTGCCCAAAAATGTGTTTTGAATCCCTGAACTAAGTAAAGTTCATAATCTTACTATATAAATTCTACTTCTGACTTCATACCCCCTTAGCTTTTTTTCATTTCAACAGAAATGAATTAATGTTGCAAAGTAATTTGGAATTTAAAAATCTGTTATAATTCAAAACTAAAATTCTGATATACACTTGCTGCAGAGTAAATAGAAGAGATTTCCAAAAGATGAACAAAGTAACATTAAGAGAAAGGTCAGTAATATGATGCAAATAGTGGAATGGGAGTTTCAAATGTAAATAGCGGAGAGTCTTGGATTTTACCCAATTCCTTTATATTTTAAACAACATACAAGAGGAGTTTAAAAATAGTTTGTGATATAAGGGGACACAACTATTTATACCATGTTATATTTTCTTAGTTTTCATGTTTTGACCAGCAGTAGCATCCACAGGGATGGATATGGCATTGCTACTGAAGCCTTATTTCTTTATATATCTATGTGTCATATGCACATGTACAAAAGAGGCAGGGATGTGATTGCAAAATTGCTCCCACCATTTTGCAGATTATTTTACCCCCCTGCATCTTTTTAATTAATTCATTATTATCTTTGCTAAAACCAGCTATCATAGTTTCCCACCCTGAAAATATAAAAAAGAAAAAAAACATTAGTATGAACAATTATACTGTTATCCTATTAGAGAGCATCCAATTCGTCAATTGATTATTATTATTTTTTTTGAAGCGTGGGATAGTAGAACTATATTAAATATATAAATAATTGAATATATAATTTTGCACATTTGTTCTTCTGCAGAATTTGTGTTTTAACCACGTTGAGGGTTCAATGTCTTTGTCAAAT